CACGAGAAAAGATCCCATCCTTGGATTGTCAGAGGCCCCTCTTGAGGAATTAGTAGAAGAGCAGTGTTGCCACGATGGATAACGTCCGCACTCAATTGAACGGTAAGTGACATAGAGAGAGATGCTCCGCGTGTCGATCGATTAGAGAAATCAACACGTGTCAACAAGCAAGCAGGAGCTTGCTAATATTGGAACCCCTTGGGCGTCACATATGTGACGAACCACTTTCTGTAACGCGCGATTTTCTACGCGGTTGCAATGACGGGTCCTAAGTTGGGAAGGTTGGGCCAATTACGGGAGATCGGGATCGGTGGAAAATTGCATAGGTGTCCTTGCTTTTTCGTCTTTTTCGTCGCTACTTTTCGGATGGCTGGGTTCGGAGCTGGGTGTGTTCTGAGATGACCATTTGATTGATTGGTTGGCTGGATGTCTGGCGCGCCACCGCGCGCGCGATTAATAAATGTTGACGTCGTTTCTTTCATTTCGGTTTCGATCGTTTGGGCGAGGACATCGCACGGGAAATTGCTTCGTTCTTTTTGAATTTTCTTTTGAGTCTTCTTTCGAATTTTGTCGAGCCCCGATGGCTCTCGGAATTTCGGACTTCCTCTATGAAATTTGTGCTTTTTGCTTCTTCGCATTAGATAGGGATTTAAGAATTTAGTAATTAGTTTTTTTCTTGCTGCAAGGCGCCTTTTGCGTACGTGCTTCTTCATGCGGCTACAACGGTACTCTGATTAGTAGGCGCCTTAATCGTCTGTGTAACTGTAATTATGGGCGGGCGCCATTGTAACTGTATCTTCCTTCTTGCGCATCGTCTTTCCCGCCCTCCTTCTCCTTCTTTTGCTGCATTTTTGGTAGTCGCGGTTTGCATGATCGGGTCGATGCGTGGAGAGCGGCTCCGTCCCCCATGCCGCGATCAGACCATGCAAATGCAGGCAAACTCCTCCCCCTTCCCCTCTCCTAAGTCCTTGTAATTCCGTGTTCTTCGCACATGCATGCACACAATAAATTTCGGCTGCGCGATTAGTTAACTCTCTTAACCCGTTGTTAGAAGCTCGGGGTTGCGCGATCAAGGAGGGTCGGCACACGAGCGAAGTAAGAGGTGAGCAGAGTAGGAGTCGGGCAACTTGACGAGCTGGTGCCGAACGCGCGGGGTTGACGTGGGCCACGACGGACTGTGGGTGCGGGCGAATCTGACGGGTGCAGGAGGACTAAGCGGGGTGACGGCGTCGTGGGTTGGTGCGCGACGACGGACTGTCCACATCGGAGAGGAAGAGAGAGAGAAGAGAGAGTTTAGGTCGATGGATGCGGAATTGCTGTTTCTTTCGTCTCTTCTCCCCCCTGTCTCGTGTATATAAGTTTTGAATACGGCTCTGGGCGATCCGCCCGTTTTTGTTTCCCTTTCCGTCTTTCAAGACCCGGACTTGRATTTTTGTGCTCGCATTTCTCTTTGCGATTTCCATGGAGACCGAGTTTCGATTGTTTTTGATCTCTGTCCTTGCCCATGAGGCATTGTGTGTATGATTACTGCGGATGCGAATGTATGAAGGCTATGCTCGGTTGTTTGCCTTTTACGGGAAATCTCTCGTCTTTTCTTTTGTCCGTCGTGTTCTATACACCCGCGCATAGACTAGGAATTTTGCGCAACTGATGATTTTGTCCGGGTGCTTGCTTGTCCTTGGATCGAGCTGTTTCGTGATCATTGCATCTTGCATAACTCAGGACCTCGTGAAGTGATTAGGCGGCCGGACACCGGGCTCGGTGAACGCCGCGCGAGGACACGTGTAGAACGCGATCGGAGATTGCGCACTTACACGTATCCTAGGGCGTCGACTCATCGGGGCCCTCTATCTGTCCGAGTGAGAGTGGCCGATTTGAAATCCGCAACGGCGCAATCGTCCCGCACGAGCACGTGTAAGTCCGACGCCATTCGCACGGCCGGCACGTGCTCGCACGCGGCGACCGAGATCGTCACGAACCCGTCCTTAGGCAGCCCATAATATCGCAATGACATGATGACGCGATCTTGGAATTCTGACTCATCCTACGACACAGATTATTTGACCCAACTCCCATTTCGTCAAAATGGACATCTTTTATTTTTTGAACGAAATTGAAACTGAGTTTTTTGGCCGAAAACTCGTCAAAATTTGCTCTTCCCGAGGATCCGGCGTTTGTAAAACGCTGGACCCCCTGGTTGTACATGGACCCTGCGTGAGACCATGTACCTCCAGGCAATCCTGCCTAGAGGTGCCTGGTCTCAAGYTAGGTCCATGTACAGCCAGGGGGTCCAGCGTTTGTAAGACGCTGGATCCTCAGGAACAACAAATTTTGACCAGTTTTCGGCCAAAAAACTAAGTTTCAATTTCGTTCAAAAAATAAACAATGTCGAAACGGTCGTTACCCAGTGGATAAACGAAATCGTGAGGCAGCGATACCCTTGCCACACTGAGAATCGACTATGTCCTCGGGATTTCCACTGGGCCACCTCTAACGACCCCCAGTGCTCTGATTTCCCTTCTCCCGATTATACCTACTACTTCATCCACCTGGGATTTGTCGTCATCACTACCAGTTTTTCTCCCTTTCGCCTTCTTCTTCCATATCATCAACTCAGCGTCATTCCGTGGCTGGCCATAGCCCCCTACTGGCCCAGCACACCCTGCGAAAACTGCCGATGACACGGCGATCAGAGAACCCCGGAGTTCAGAAGGCCTAACCTGCATGTGCGACGATCAGCGCCACGTGGCAACTCCCGACAGACAGACCCATCGGAACCCCACCTACCCCGAAGGGACCAACCCCCAAACCGCCGTCCTCGAAACCAATGGCTCGCTCGGTCTTGAGCGAACCACACGTACCATCTGCCTTGTAACCCGAAGGCGCCCTTTTCGTCAAATTGCACTCGTGCCCCCGAAAGACCCTGTCACAGGAGATCTCAGTTCTGACCTGGGACTCCACTTTCCCAAAAATCCTTGGCACACTTCCAGGCCCACATCCCACTCCGAACAGGAAGTCGAGCTGGGCGTGAGGTTGGGCGTCACACCGGCAGCACTGGGCATAGCAGTCTGGCTCAGCTGGTTACGCATGCAAGTGGCATTCAGGCGGTCGCGGGTTCAGTCCCTGCTGGCCGGGTAGGGCATGCTTCGTGCTTGCTCGCCCCAGGTCAACGTAAGTAGGCGCTTTAGCGAACACAGCTGTGAGCTTGTGTCTGAGCACATTGTTTGTTGTCCTGAGTGACTGAGTCCCGGTTCCCAAATTCCGTTTGGTCCCAGTTGGTCACAGTCCCAAGGCAGGCATTCCATATTTCCCCAGCTCGGAGGCGTTCCATATTTGCCCCCTTCGTGTTTCATGTTTTCCCCAACATGCTCCCTCTTTGGCCTCCACAAATGCGACATGGCCCCCGGGGTTCCCTTCGCGGCGTCGAGGCATGCCTAGGAAGGTACATGGGCCCAATGGGCATTGAGCCCAAGACCTACCTGGTCAATGCGGCTTGCGTGCCTTACCTCCTGAGGCCGTTGATCATCCATCCAAGGTATGATATGATCAGTTGGATGGTCATACGTCAAGGCCGCCGCCCTTTATGAAAAGTAACAAACAATGCATGAATCTGCGCGTCTTTGTGGAGAGGTGCAGAACATCACGACTTTTCTGCACCTCTTTTGCAACACAGCCAGATTCTTTTTCGTTTTGAATTCTTGCATATTCGTAACACAGCCAGACAGATTTAGGCGAATGCAATCGGGATAGGATTTGACGCCGGAATGTGGACGTCCCTGTAGGGGAAGTGCAGTGCAGATCATGCGAGTCATGATTGCTCTGTTTTTCTGCGCGTTTTTGCGAAACGCTCTCTCCTTTCGTCTTCCGTTCGAACACAACGCACCCTAATTTGGCTGTATGGGACCGGAAGGACAGCCTGTATACATTCATAATCAGGGTTCATTGTGTCCCTAATTTGGCTGTATGGGACCGGAAGGACAGCCTGTATACATTCATAATCAGGGTTCATTGTGTTTTGGGGCAACCCGGCAAGACGGTGATGGGACCTTGCGCCGGGGCCGTCGATCGCATAAATAAATTGATCTCGCTCTCCGGATTGTGACAGGAGATCTCAGCGGTTCTGAGGTTTAATTGTGAATTGTAGAGCGAAGTTGTGGACGATAGTGTATGCGACTGAGTAGTGCGAGGCGTTCAGCCATCTCTGTGTTCTGCCGTCTTTCCCTTCCGTTGTGGTGAATGCTTCGCGTCTAGTCTTCTTATTGGATTGAGGTTCTCGAATTTCGGTAGTGCTGCAAGTGGAGGGCAATCGGGACACTTCTCAAGCGGCTCGAGCTCGCGGTGGTGAAAGTGGCAGCCAGGTTGACGGCAACAATCTCTCGCCTTTCACCGCCTTGGGGATAGTGTGGCAGTTCATACTTGTACGTATTTTAACGAGGCAAGGAAGGACCCGGAGGGGCTGGTCAGGGTGTGGTCTTGCCTTTCTTGGGAGTGCCCCCGTCGAATCTGGACCAAGTGAAAAGGGCTAAGAGGGGAGGCTAGTAAGTGTGAGTTTCAGATACGCCAGCGAGGGAGAGAGAGAGAGAGAGAGAGAGAGAGATGGCGTCAGACAAGGCACGTGCGGGAGCAGAGCAGATGAAGGAGGCCGGGCGGGAAGGGTACGAGGAAGGGAAGGGGTCTGCGCAGGAGAAGTACGAGCACGCGAAGGAGACTGCTGGCGCCAAGACGCAGGAAGTCAAACAGGCTATGGAGGAGCAGAAGGGGTCTGCGCAGGAGAAGTACGAGCACGCGAAGGAGACTGCTGGCGCCAAGACGCAGGAAGCCAAACAGGCTATGGAGGAACAGAAGCAGCGAGCGGGAGAATCGATGCAGGAGCAGCAAGAGAAAGCCGCGGGCGCCATGCAGAGCCTGAAGGAGAAGGGAGGCGCAGCTATGGAGGGTCTGAAGGAGAAGGTCGGGATGGGAGGAGGAGGGGCAGGCGCTGGCCAGGGAGGGCAGTGAGGAAGGAAGCAGAAGCGTTGACTTCTGCGAGCCCCGGGTCAACGAGATGGGTGAAGGAGATCTTCAGCGCCCGCATGGAGTCTCAGGCGTGCAATGAATTTGGTCGTAATGGAGGTCACATACATGCAAATAAGCATAGCTCTTACAACAATGGGGTAGGGGGCTCAGTTATCGTATTTGAATCTGACGTGGAAACGAGACGTGTGATTGAATCTGACCTGGAAACGAGACGCAATACAGATGCAGTAGAGCGCTGTATTGGCAATTTTTGTTGGTTATGAGTGTAAGCGCCTCCATTCTAATCTGGTCAGCGTTGCGCAGCCGAGCACGCAGGGTTCTGAAATGCCATGGATAAGTACTCCACATTTTACACGAATTTCAACTGAGTTCTGGACCAGGTGCATTCGCACCGGCGAGACATTTATCACGTATCGGGGTCCTCRCGAGGTCCAGATACTCTTAGGACGTCGTGTAGTGGAGCGAGKCCCAGTATGTGGCAGGCCCAGTATTTGATACATCGATTGATGTGTAGCCTTGGGCTTTTGGCCCGTTGATAATTGAATTTTCGGGCTTTTTWKAAAAATATATWATAGAAAAATAAACGAATGCCACAGGCTATCCTTTAATTTGAATCTCTGCAGTCGATCGCCATCTGACGGTCGACGGGCAATGAGTCKTATYGAGTGAAATATAAACCGCAACGAGTGTCATTGAGTGAAATATAAACCATCAGGAAATCTGAGCCCCATCAGGAAATCTGAGGCCCATCAGGAAATCTGAGCCTTAAGAAAGCGG